CCATCAGAGTTATATTTAATCTTGTAAATCCACTTGCAACCGAACGCGTGTTTCCCAGTAGGAAGAGAGACAATATCCCAAGTATGGTTCGATTCCAATGCTCGAATCTCCAGTTGCATAGCCGAACACCAGCGACTATCTCGAACAGCCTCAGAAAAAGTTCGAGGCTCAACAACAGAAGAAATGGCTGCGAGAAACGACTTGTGTGCAGGCGAAAAGGAATCACATGAAACATAATGTGCGAGAGGGTAAGGAGTACCAGACGATGACGTGATTGAGAAGGTAGAGTGGGGGGATGAGGAACAAACAGTGTGAGAGACAAAGTTGGCAAGATGGGAAGAGGGTCTCTTGAGACGATGACCACGGCCCAGTAATTCCTCTTGGGGAGGATTACCCCCCCAACAATAATGACGTCAGAACCCTCAGTGTCAGCAGTACGGGTCGTGGTGGGAACCACCACATTATCATCATCGTCAGAAACATAATGCCATGTAACCAGAGGTACGGAGGCAGTGTCAGGAGCAGGAGACGTCAAATAAGGGAACTCTGATTCACAGAATTTCACATCACGTGAGACCAGAAAATTGCGGTTGTCCAAATCATAAACACACCACCCCTTTTGACTAGATGAATAACCAACAAAAACCCATCGACGACTCCGACTTGCAAACTTGTCACCTTCCCTGTTCTGATTTTGCACGTAACACAGACAACCAAAAACTCGTAAGTGGGAATATTTGGGAGGTTCTCCATACAAAAGTTCATAGGGAGTCTTGCCGGATAAGAGAGAAGTAGGCGTTCGATTAATTAAATAGCCAGCAGCAAGTACACAATGTCCCCAGAACTCAATCGGTAAATGGGCTTGAAAGCGTAATGCTCGAGCAACATTAAGAATATGCTGATGTTTGCGCTCAGCACGTCCATTTTGTTGAGGAGTTCCGACATAAGAAGTTTCATGAACAATCCCCTGTTGACGAAAATAATCACGAATATGAGTAAATTCAGTTCCATTGTCACTGCGAACAGTTTTAACCAACGCACCAAATTGCCTTTTGACAAAAGCAAAAAATTGCAGTAAAGTGGAAGACACCGAAGATTTGTCATCCAATAAGAAAATCTAAGTACCGCGAGAATAGTCATCAACAATAGTCAGAAAATATCGAGCACCACTAAAGGCAGGAACTCTATAAGGTCCCCACACATCACAATGAATCAAACTGAAAAGGGAACTGCTAACACTTCGACTAAGAGGAAAGCTAGCACGAGATTGCTTCGCCCGCCAGCAAACATCACAAATTTTAATCGAGACCAACAAATGAGATTCAACAAAAGGCAACTGAGCAAGAACAGTAGAAGATGGATGGCCCATCCGTTGGTGCCACAAGTGTTGCATAACCGAAGACACCCGAGAAGCATTGGCAGCGATCGTCCCTCGGAAAAAATAAAGTCCCCCCAACTGCTCTCCCGCTCCAATCACCGTCCTCGAAGTGAGATCCTGAATAGCACAATATTTACTAGTGAAGGTAGCAACACAACCTGATTGTTCCAACAAACGAGATAATGATATCAAGCTGCACTAAAGACTGTCAACGAACAAAACATCATATAAAATAAGACGAGAACCGAGATGAACAGTGCCAGCTTTACACGCAGTGGTGAGCGTGCCATTAGGTAACTGCACAGACCGGGGCGGAATATCCCAAATATCAGAAAAAAAATTCCAAGTAGCCCGTCATATGATGTGAAGCACCGCTATCATACATCCACTCATAAAGACTACGCTTGCCGGGAAAAGGAGTATTGTTGCGGGCAGAAGTGACGAAGTGGACAATAGACTCCCATTGGGCATAAATTAACCCAGATATAGCTGCCCGATCGGAGTCCGTCAATGAGGATGTTGGCCTGCCATGTACAGAGCCAAAGGTACTAAGTGCAGCCCCGTTCGCGAAGGCGGCATTGGCAAAGACTGGACTACCACAGCCGATAACAGCAGGTCCGTCACCGTGTCCGCCACGACCAGCTCGTCCCCCGACTAAAACGTATGTCTCTGCCATTGACTGAAACTCTCACGCAAATAATTCGACTTCACTACCCTTCCGTAAACACCCAGCCAAAAGAAGTGAAGTACTGCTAGACAATTAGGAAATCAAATCCCCAATACACTTCGTGAGAATTTCTTGCCAAATAATTATAATTCCTCCAAAGAGTTAAAAATCTCACTCCCTTTCAATGAATACTCTCGGGCTGCAAAAATCTTGGCCAAAGAAACCAATCTTCTCGCAAAAACTCCACAGGGTGAAATCACGCTCAATTCTCAATTTTTTTATTTTTTATTTTTTTATTTTTTTTTAACAGGCTAACGGGAATCTTAGTTGATCAAGAGCAACGAAAAGAGAGAAAAAAAAAAAATGAGAGCAATAGAAAAAAAATTGAGTCTTAGTTGATCGAGACTTGAGATTCGAGAAAAAAAAAAAATTAACCGGGCTTTGATACCATGACAAACACGTGAAAACCAATTTGTTTTCCCAAAATCTTACTCCACCCAGATTTACAATGGCCGAATATAAAGGTACAAAGGAAGCCATAAAACAATCTACACCAAATCTCCAAGATACTAAAATCTATTTATACCAAACATACAATATTCACAAGATCACTCTAACAAATAACATCTATATATACACCGAAATATGTGTGAGGGCATTACAAATTATAAGTATAAAATAAATTAAGAAATTCAATTGGAAAAAATATTGTTGATAATAACTACCACCATACTACAATAGAATTGATATTTCAACATAAATAACAAATCCTTCTAATTTTCTATTCATTTGGTAACGAGCCATATGCTAAAAATCATCTATTCAAGGGTTTCAAAATGTCATTTGATAAAAAAAATTCATATTGTTATTCACAATATCATAACAAAACTCATATAATTAATAAATTAGAAAGAAAAATTAAAATAATATAATATACATTTTTATAATTATAAAAAGATAAATTAATATTGACGTAATTAAGAATTAATAAATTTTTAATTTCAAAATAATATATATTGCAATCTTTTTCAATCAAGTGTTGAATATAATATTTGCTACAAATTTTCAACTTTAGTATAACTTATTTAAAAATTATAAGGTATGAGTAAGAGAAGATAGAAAGAGAATAAATATTACGCGAGTATTATATACCGATAATATTTTAATATGTTAAATTTTCGTTATCCTTAATTATAAATAAAAACTCTAAAATGACAAGTATTTTATAACGAGTGAAATAAACATATAAATTTTATATTACATCATATACATCATAAAATAAAATAATAAAATAATATTAATATTTAAAATTATTTTTATATTAATCAATATCCCTTAATTGCTTTAATGTGTGAAATTTACAATTATTGTCTACGTACTAGTTCATCCTGTTAATATAATTAAGAGTAAACGGAATTTAGCAGAAATATTCTAACTGAATACCAAACTTTATGTGAAATCAAGTCAGAATACATGTTTCTCGGCATCAAATTACGTAAGCTCACGACGTAGGACAACAACGTACAACTTAATCACAGATTAATTTAATTTATAATCTCGATTCATAATACGACACGCAAATCACTAAGGGTGTGATTGTTTATCAATCCTTCTAAAAAAAAATCAATCAAAACTCAAATTTAACTCAACCTCACTATCTCCAATATTATCAATATAATTAAATAATATCAACCAATCATTCAATCAATCATTCTTATACATCACATAAACTTTAATTCACTATTCATCTACTCACATAATTTTAACTAACTATCAATTCCAATCATTTTTCTCTTACTTTTACATCATATCTGATGAGGGTTCAACTAACCCTCAGCCCCCCCAGCCCAGGCTAGCCGTGGCCCTGCCTGGTGAGCCCAGTCTAGCCGTGGCCCTGACTGGCTCGTGCCCCAGGGG